GAGAGAGAAAGAGAGAAAGAGTGAGTCACAGAAGGCTCTCCAAGAAGGCAACATCCATATGCTGTACAATGGAATCAGCCATGGGAATATTTAAGTTAGAAATAGAGAAAGGATTCTAAACAGAAAATGTAGAGAGTAAGATCAAGAACAGGAGAAAATGAGTGCATAAAAGACAAAAGCCAGAAACAACAGAGGCAGCGAGAATGGACTGTATTCTAAGAACCAAAGAACATGCATTGCCTCAGAAATCTCTACTCCTTTTCTAATCAACCCTTCCCTTTAACTACTAGGGTTTCTAGTTTTACTTCTCCCTTATCTCTTCATCTTACTCATACCATTTCTCTATAAGGTTACAACTCATCCTTTATCATTTGTCACAAGGAAATGGGCTCCCTGCAAAAAACAACAACAACAACAACAACACCTCTGCATCTCAGCTGGCCTCTGTCATCTGTCATCTGGAAGGACACATTATACCTGTCCCGGCTTAGATAGATTAAAAACCAGATCACTACCTCCAAACACAGTAAACACAGCCCCTCTAAGTAGTGATTAGGAGACTCACCTGGAATCAATACACCCTGCCCCTGCAAACACACACAACACTAGTGGTACCATGTGTTCATTAACCAGGACTCCTCTCAACATCTCTTAGGAACACATTTTCCTCTCCATATGTACTGCCATCACCTGAATTGAGATGCGTGTCACTTCATTACTGAATTCTAAATACCTGCCTGCTTTGATTTCATGGTCCTCAAAATTCATCATGCATTAGACTCACCTGGAGAATTTACTAAAATATACTACTGAGTCCTTCCCCAAAAATTTCTGCTCAGTAGACCTGAGGTGGACAGGTTTTCAGATGATATTAATCCTGCTTTGATTCATACTGGATTCCACTCTCAGACTTCCTAAAGCAGATATTTATGATACTACCTCCTTAGATTAAATTACCAAAAATAGCTACCACACCTGCCATGTTAAGTTCAAACTCTTCTGGCTTCTAGGCCTGAGAAATCTGGCCCCACCTCACCTGTCCAACCAGACTGGAGCAATGAGCATGGCTATTTAAAAACAGCCCAGTATCTTGCAAGAGGCTCATCAACAGGGCATCATCCTCAAGCCTGGGATGATGGAATAAAAAACTTCCTGGACTGGAAATCTAACCCACATGGCTAGCTTTTCCTACTAATTTGTCATTATTGCTAGTAATGACATTATTGCCATTTTTTTTATCTACATGACCTTCAGAGAGCTGCTTAGCCTCCCTGGGTCTCTTGCTTCATCTTGGAAATATCCAATTGCTCTCCCATTTCACAACTTGTGTAAGAGAAACAAAGGCAATGGCTATTAGAAGTGTGCTTTGTGGACTTTCAAGCCCTACATGAATTAACAACCATGCATAATTTTCTAAAAGCTATGGATGCTCAACCCATATGCTCAAATTCCAGCCCTGTTAGAGTCCAGCTCAGATGCCCTTCTTAATATATATCTTCAATAAGGTGAAGATCCTTTCTTCCTATTTCTAAGATACGTTAATTTAAAGTTAAATGAGTCTTAGTCTTGTCTTTTATAAAACAGACAAAAACCAAACATAATATAAAATAAT